TTAAAAGAAGCAAGAGTAAAGTGAAAAGTCACCCATCAGGGAGCCCCCACTAGATTAACAGAAGACTTTTCAACAAAAATTCTACAGGTCATAAGGCAATGGAATGACATATTCAAAATACTAAAAGAAAAAAAACCTGACAGTCAAGTATACTACACCCAGGAAGTATATCCTTCGGAAATGAGGGAGAAATAGTTATTTCCCAGACAAACAAAAACTGCCAGAGTTCACCACCATATGACCACCTCTACAAGAAGTGCTCAAGGGAGTTCTGCATCTGGAATCTGAAAAGTGATAATCACTACAATGAACCCACAAGAAAGAACAAAACCCACTGGTAGAACAAAAATTAAAATGAGAAATAGAAAGAAACTATATATTACCACATCAAAAACCCAAGAAAAAAAGAAGACAAACAATAAGAGGGGAGAAAAGAACAAAAGATATTTAAAACATCCAAATGAAAATTGATTAAATATCAGGAGTAAGACAATACCTTTCAATAACAACCCAAAATGTAAATGGATTAAATTCCCCACCCAAAAAAAATAGACTGACTGATTGGATTAAAATGCTAGACCCAACTATATTCTGTCATCAAGAGACTCAATTCATTTGTAAAGAAACAAAGAGATTAGTGGTAAAGGAATGGATAAAGACATACCATGCAAATGGAAACCAAAAACCAGAGGAGTAGCTATTCTTACATAAGATAAAATAGACTTTAAACCAAAAACCATAAAAAGAGACAAAGAAGGCCATTATTTAATGATAAATGGATATATCCAGCAAAAAGACTTAACAATTATAAATATATATGCACCCAACAACCACAGCTGTGAGATATATAAAGCAAACACTATTAGACTTAAAGAAAGAGATAGACCACAATACTATAATAGTCGGGGACCTGAAGTCCTGTCTCTCAGCATTGGACAGAACCTCTAGGCAACAAATCAACAGAGAAACATAAGATTTAAACTAAACATTAGACCAATCAGACCTGGCAGATATCTACAGAACATTTCATCCAACAACTACAATATACCATCTTCTCATCAGTACATGGAACATTCTCCAGGATAGACCACATGTTAGGTCACAAATCAAGCCTCAACAAATTTTTTAAAATTTACATCATTTCAAGTATCTTTCTTTTCAGACCATAATGTTTTAAAACCAGAAATCAATAACCAGTGAAACTCTGGAAACTGTACAAATAAATGGAAATTAAGCAATATGCTCCTAAATGACCTATGGGTCCAAAAAGAAATTAAACAGGAAATCAAAAATATTCCTGAAACTAATGAAAATAAAGATACAGCATACCAAAACCAGTGGAATGCTGCAAAAGCAATACTAAGAGGAACGTTTATTGCAATAGATGCTTACATAAAAAGAATAGAAACATTTCAAATAAATAATCTAATGCTACACCTCAAAGATCAAGAAAAACAAGAATAATCCAATTCCCAAATTAGTAAATGGAAAGAAATAATTGACATTTGAACAGAACTAAATGAAACAGAGATGAAATGAATATAAAATGATACAAAAGATCAAT